AAGGCTCACATGCATATAAAAAGCTAAGATCCCTAAAGGTTACAGTTATTTGTGTTTCTTTGACCTAGCAACTTTGCGAGTAGTACCTTATCTGACAACAGGGGCACCCACCCAATTTAAGCAGTTTTTCCTGGACAGTGGACCTGAAGGCTGAAAGGAAAAGTAGGCAGGATATTCTCTCTGGATATTAAACTCCTAACCTCTTCTTAAAAGTTAAAACATGTTTTTAATTAATATTAAAAACCTTTCCCCTAGTTGGAAAGGCAACTATTCCCCCTTGGTTTCTGGAATCCAGTGGCACCCTGCCCCAACAGATAGAGTGGAAGGGGTGATGTCCAGTGAGCTAGGCAGAAGCATAGTCTGCTTTTCATTTTAGGTCAGCACTTGTTTTCACTCTCGCTGTGTGGAAGGTTGCTAGACTCTTCTTTCTCAAGGTTTTTAGTTGGTAACCTGGCAAAGGGCACTTTTCTGACTGTGCAGCAGTTGGTCTGGCTGGTGAAGTCCACATGCGCACACAGTCTCTTTAATTACAGTTTCTGGTTGCGGGTCAGTGGCATACCTTCCGCCCACCTCCCAGCATCTGAGGCTCACAGATGCCCAATAGAGAGAAACCAGTGGGAGTGGGGTAAACTTCTTTAACCACTTGAAGAACAGGGTGTTAAACCCTCTTCCTGTCCTAGGCCATTTTTCAGTATTCAGGGCTGCAGTACTTTTACTGACATTTATTCAGCCTTGCAACACTGTCCCGTATGACCAAGTGGCCATTATGGACATAGAAGAGGGGTCAGGTCAAGATCTCACAGTTACTCTAGTGGAAACTCTTGCTTGTGGCATACTAATACATATTTGTTTTTCACTGGTGGTACCTGAAGATCAGGTACAGAGATTCCTCCTACATCCCTAGATTATTGGATATAAGGGCTGTTTTCTATCTTTCGGTGGAAGGGATTCCAAGGGCAGGAATAAAAGTTGCATATGACACTGTTTTTCAGATTAAAGTTCAGGCAGATAAAAAAGCCTGCTGATCCCTCTGACAAACCCGAATTGTTATGATCTTAGAAGACATTAATACATTTATGACTAAGGAATCCCTGGGTCTCCTAAAAGATTTTATGGATACCTTGTGAAAAGAGATGTCCTCTACCTTCCAGTCATTCAGAATGCTTTTGCAAGAATTTTGCAATAAGTCCATCTCCTCCTCTCAATCTAATCCCGACTCCTCTCTGAGATTCTCTTTTACTTTTGCATTCCACAATGTGATCAGTCTAAATTGGGGACAAATGTCCCAAATATGATGCATGCTTCTGTCAGGTTTCAAAACAATTGCATTCAAAGTCCCTAAAGACCCCAAAAAAACAATCTTTACTAAAAAAACAAATACTGGAGTCCTTACCGATTCTATCTAAAACTGTGAAATACATCACGGGGGGAACTTTCTGCCACAATGGGAGGTTGCAAGAAAACAAAACAAAACATTTTATACTGAATATTATTTACCTAGAATATAGAATAAAGACAAATGAAAAGCAGCAGTTTCCCCTCCCTTAATTTGGGAGTTACAATTCCAGAAAAGCATTGCTCCAGTTCCTCACCAGTATCAAAGTGAGAGTTTTTCTTCCCATATTTTTCTGTGACAAAAACCCTCATAAACATATTGGGACATTTTAAAGTGTATTTCATTGTTTGCAGTTAAATTTGATTAAACCCTTCTATATGTTTGTGTGTTTCTATTTCCATAGCATACCAAAAATAACTAAAATAAAAAACTTAATGAGCCAACACAGTGCAGACAGGGTTAACACAAACCCCCTCACAGCCCCTGCTTTTAGCTGCAAAAGTGGAAATACACTTGAAAACTCTGAATCGACCAATTAAAAAAAATTCAGGATAGAATCCATATTTTCCCTAAAAGACCTGTTGACAAAGGACACATTCATGTTGACAACAGACCAAAGGGAGGCATACTCCCAGGTTCCTATTTGGAGATCTTCACAGAAAGCCCATTTCCACCTTTGCATTTGTATTTAAAAAAAACCATATGCCAATAATATACACAGAGTTCACATGAAGCAGGCATCTGAAGTTGTTGTATATGAACAAAGAAACTTGTATTTTTATTAGCTTTCCTTTTCATATCCTCATGGGAATAGGTGTCTCTGTGCAGTACAAGCAATGTGTGTATATTACAAATGAGCTCTCCACCCCCCACGGACAGTGTATTGTGTGCAAAGGCTGCGTTGGTGTTTAGTGATCGTATTACAATGAGACAGAGGGAGGGGGGAAGAGGGTTACAGCCTTCTTTACAATACGACTGATGTCAGACTGAAGTTCCTGTGGAGAAAATGTTGAATTTCTAGGATTCCGTCCTACTAACAACCTGCAATGTAGGTCATGAAAATGTGCACACATATACATCATCACTGCACCTCTACATTACCACAATAAATGCTAATCAGCTACAAAGGTGGAAATGGACTTTAAGGTTTGCTGAGAGATGGCCAGGACATGAAGCATTGGCAGTTTGCTGCCCTACCTTTCAGAGTATCGTCAGCACCACAAATGTTTACCAAAGTGCTAGCAGAAGCATTCGTTTCCCTGATGGAAAAGGAAATGTCCCTGGTCCCATATATGAACAACCTCCTATTCATGAAATTTGAGACTCAGCTATTGACAGATTTGAATTTATGCTCTGCCACCTAGAAAAAAATGGGATGGATCATAAACATAAAAAAAATCAAATCTCACACCAGCATGATACAATATTTTTGTCCACACATTAAAAACAAAAACTGCTGATGGAAATGGACTCTTTACCAATGACCTCAGTTCTTTAAGATTAATAATGAAGTTACTTGGTCTTAAGACTTCTTCAATACCTGCTGTGCAGTGATCACAAAGCCATACAAACATGGGATGGTTCTCATACGATGTTGAGACAATCATGCTCCATCACCTCAAACAATATAACATGAACTGCTTTAGTGGAAAAAACACCTAAACCTATGTCAAGGATGAATACAGCTTACCAACAATCCAACATCAATTACTATGGATCCTGTCAAGTTTACCAGATTTATTTAATCATGGACCAGCGTGGTACCCCAGAGTACAAGAGCTAAGGTTAATACATCCTCGTATATGAATGGGACCTATTAAAGGCACAGCAAGTATCGGAGAAAGTGATCAACACATTTAATTATGGATGCAAAAACATTTCGGCCGCCCAAAACTTATTGACCGAAAATGGCAGTTTGGGCAAAATTCTGAAAGTACCATCTTTCGGCCGAAATTGCGGTGCAGTCTTAAGTGTCTCTCCTCCCCGTTGTACGCTGCTCTGTGTCCCCTCTGACACTGAGCGAGTCACAGGAGGAGCTCCCCTCCTGAACCACCCCACTCAGCCTCCTGTAACAGTTCAGGAGAGCAAAGTGTTGGGACAGCTGTCACAGGAGGCCGAGCTGGCGGTGAGGGGGAGGAGTCCGCTGTCAAATGAGACCAAGCTCTCTTTCCCCCCTTTCGGCTTAGCCTCCTGTGAGAGCCGATCCAGGATGGAGAATGGTATACAAACATTCAGCGACCAGTGATCGCTGAATGTTTGTAAATAATTGGATATTGTATGAGTTCTTATGTACAAGTTATAAATGAATAAGAAGTGATCTACATCACTTCCTATTCATTTATGATTGTGTACACAGTAACTCAAACTATATCCACAATTTATGAATGAACAGAGACACTCAGTACAGTATAGAGCAGTGGTTCTCAACCTGTGTAACCTCAGGACCCACATTTGTGCTTGGTCATTAAGTTGCGACCCAAGTCGCACTGCAGTGGAACGCACGGCATTGTGGCACCGTGTGTTCCGATGTGGAAGATTGAACTCTGGGCAGGAGGTGCATTTGGGGTGCCATTCAAATGAATGGCAACGCAACACACCTCCCACACCAGGGAGCGTAGTAGGTGCGATTGCCTCGTACAGTGCGTTAATCACACAGGACTGTTCGATTAACGTATTGTACTAGTGTGAACCGGGCCTTAAAAACACTGAAAGACACACACAACCAAAGACACAATCTCACACACACATATACACTCCTCCCCCCCCAAAAAAAGTTTTCCTTTTTTTTTTAAGATCCACCCAGTCTTCCTACCTTACAATGTCACTTCAGTCCAGGCACCTCTACAGGACATGCAAGTGAGCTGTAAGCAATACATGTATGGATGGAGCCCACCCCACCTTAAGCTGACACTCATTGCCGAGCAGCATAGGAATGGCTGCTTGGCGTGAGAACTGACAGTGCTACGCTAGGGGTAGGCTGAGAAGCCTCACATCTAGAAAAATGGAAGGCATTCGGCAACCCACTGCACACGGGGTCACGATCCACTTTTGGGTCACGACCCACCAGTTGAGAACCAAGGGTATAGAGGATTCCTGCATCCAGTGCTCTGAGCCTAAAGATCTGCAGGACAGCCACTTGGATGAGTTTCAACACATTCGGCAAACACTACAGAGCTGATTTCAAACCAGGATCAGGCATTTGGCAGAAATGTCCTGCAAGCAGTAGTCCACCATACTAAGATCTGGTTACCCGATAACTTAATTTCGAAGAAGATTCCAGGATATGTATACACGTACACACACGTAAGTATTTGCTGTATTTCTGCAGTTTATACCTTGCCTTCAGTTCTCTGTGTATGCCTCCTTGCAAAGATCTGGCACTTTTTTATTAGCATGCAAGCCTTGTGTTTCCTGTTTCAGGTGGACAGAGCCACGCTCTCTCTCTCTCTCATGTCCTTTCCTGGAAGATTCTTGAAATTAAGTTACCAGGTAACCAATTTGGTTTTTTGATGTTTTTGACCCCTGCAGCTGTATTCAGTAAATGCATTTATTGCTTCATGCAAAAGAACAAAAATCTATTTGACAAACGAGGCTAAACACCATTTGTTGAGGCTATTCTTATGTATTTATTCATGTAGATACTGTAAAATCTTTATTCATTTACCCATGCTTCTGCCTGTATAGGTTTGATGTTGACCAATAGTACTTCTTCATAATTCCCATAATCGCAAAATTTGACCACTGCTGTTGTTCCTGAAGAGTGTAGTGCTTCTATTTCAGCTCTGTAATACTGCAATAGAAAAGGCAAATCATTATTTTAAATAAGTAACATATCATGCTACAATTGAATATTGTATTGGCTCAAGTCTGATAGGCTGATATATTAACAAACGTATCAAATAAGTGTAATGTGTAGTGCAGTAATTCAGAGCAACTAATCACAATTCATAATTGACTGTGCTAAAGTGATAAATGGTAAGATCGGGTTGTTATGGGTCGTCTTGTTTATTAGAGAATAAATTGTGAAGGGCATATTGTGTCACCTTAACCATATTCCTCATGTCTATAAGAAGTCTTATATAAGAGGAGGATGGTAAAGTGTCTAGCTTGCTCATCTAGCAGATATAAATCATGATATGATTTCTTATAATGTAGCTGTATTTTCCTGGTGGTTTTGAAGGAAAGAAGTTAGGAAAGTGAAAGTACATGATCTGCAGCATTTTAAATTGAAAAATCTGTATTCATAAATATTCTGGAAAAAAAAATATCAGCACTAAATTAATAGAAATAAAGTGATAGGTGCTTTCACAGAGATGAACAACAGATATAACAGTCAAATTCCAGCCAGTTGCAAACACAAACGGAACGATGGTAACTTAAATGCATCCTGGAAACACAGCTACTTGTAAGGGCTTCTGGTATTTAGCTAGCCACTTGTGCAGTGCTCCAGTCATATCCACTATTTTTGGAATCCCTTTTGCTTACCTGTTTGTAAGGCAGAATAGCTACCCTCTAATTAGCATACTATAAGCTCTTTAGTTTCCCACATATGGAAAAAGCTTAAAGCAGAACTCCAGCTACAATGAAAATCCATGCTATCACCCTACTCCTCACCCCCCAAAGCCCCCACATGTCAAACCTATACATACCTTTTTCCTGCAGTCATCTAGCCAGTCTGATAAGGTCATGGGTCCTTCCTCTACTTGAAAATAGCACTGGAGGTGGAACGAGCATTTCTCCACATGTCACGTAATGACATGCGAGTGCTGCTTTATCTTGGAGTACTTGAAGCCCAGCCTGGTTGATGACACACCCACATGGGCTATGTGAACGACAGGCTAGGCACAAAGGAAATGGGGATGGGCAAAGGGCATGAGTGATATATATGTTGTTCTGTGCCAACAGGATCGCTAGATGGAGGAGGAACCTGGGTACAATGCTGGAGCATGGAGAGGGTAAGTACAGCTTGGGCACATTTCCTAATTACAGAATGGGGAAGGAGCTCTAAATCAAAAACAAAAAATAAGAGAAGTTCTACTTCAGTACATCTCTGCAATACATGCATATTTCCCCACATTTTATTCCTTTAAAAATACTGCAAGTACAGATAAAAACTGGCAAATCTGCCAGAAATTCAATGAGCTTCTAACTTCCTGTTTGAGCTGATAAAACTCTGAGATTTCAGTGCAACAGAAGCAGTGTGTTAATCAGCCCTGCCCAGTTTTCCCTTGTTGGAATACAAAACACACCACTCTTTCCTTATCTTTGGAACATAATGGGAAGGTGCTCTGTAGCCCAGCATAGGAGCTGATACCAATACTGGGGATTTAAGTGCAGCAGAGGCAGCAGGATCAACAGGTAGGTTTTTTTTTGTGTGTGTTTTTAAAGACGTGGAAATGTGCATGTATTTCAGAGATGCACTGCATATTTCTTTCATTTTTCTCAAACATAAACTTTAATGCCTCAAAGTGTCAGTAGCATGCCATTTTGAAGGCACCAGTTTGATTAAAACCTGCCTTGAAAGTTTAAATCTTGTTACTGGGTTTTAGAAAATCAATTTTCTTAGGGATTCATCAAGAAGAAAGAGTACTTTGCACAGAAAAGGAGAGACACCCAACAACCCAACATGTGAAGAGCGGTTTTCTAAATATAGCAGCAATATATTACCTAAGATTTGTCAACAGGCATTTGGCTTGTGTCAAGGACAAAATTTGGACATCAGTTTGAGATACTTTTTGGATCATTTAGCATCCAATAAGATATGTACAGTTAAATGAACACATGTTAACAGTACAAAACAAGATTCCGACATTAGGGGAGTGTTTTACCTTCCGTCATGATGGGTTTAGGGCCTGTGTTGATGGTTTTGGGTTTGTCAAACAGTTTGAGATCACTCAACATTCATTTATAGGTGCATTTCCTTCTTCTAACCAGCATTTGAACTGCCTCAAGCTGATCTGCATTCTAACAGACTTGTATGGAAATGCAAAACCCCTTTTGAAGCTAACCAAAACCAGTAGAATCGGGCCAGAAGGTATATTGAGTGCACTTTCTTTTTACAAAGCTGTAGTGTTTTCTTGATAGTATTAGTGATTCACTGGCAATTCCTTTGATATCTGAAACTCCCTACAAAAAACAAACACTGAAAGAAATACATAGGCTGGTATTTCTGATCCCTCTTCTAAAAAAAAGCTGTTTCCTGCTCCAGTATTCCCTGATTCCGTATACTGAAAACAATATGTAGCAATTAAGGCACTGTGAAGTCAGAATTTCTATTCTGCATTATTGTTCTCAGTCTGTCACTTAGAAATCTGAAAATGTGCATTACTAACCTACATGAAATGCTTTTAAAATGGTTTCAAGTGTTACCTTCAGGGGACAACTTCACTGTAAAATATAGAGACAGGAAAGGAGAAAAAGGAATGTGTAACTTTCCCCGCTGTTATTCCTTGTGTTTGCAAGTCTCTCTGCAATCAGCCCCTAGGATCTGCGGTAGAATGTTATATCCTCCCTACATTACATGCTAACCTCCAGCCACATGTCCTGTTGGGTACATTACACTGTGACTTGAAGCATGGAGATGGAGCTGAATGTAATTTACACCCTTTGTTCACAATCCTCTTATACAAAGTAGAGCTAGTTGTCCTTTGATACATTGCAGAACAATGTGCAAAGTGCCCATAGAAACCCAAAGAATACTTTCATTGTTTTAACTACTCTAATGAAGGATGAACTCTGACTTGTTGTGAGCTACTAAATATACTTGCTCATTTCATACATCTAATAAGCCCTTAGTGTTTTATTACATTCTAGTACACTGGTGTAGCTGATTGAGTACTTGTTTTGTCATATCCATGCATAAAATCAAGAAACAGACATTTGCCCACTATTTCCTTGGTGTACTCATTAACAATGAAAACGACATACCTTGTTGTCTTCCCAGTAAAGAGCTAAGCACTCATCTCCTGGTCTCCAGGTAAATGCTGGGTAGGTAGGTTCCAGTATTCTCTCTGGCTTTATAGGACCAGATCTTTTTTTAGAACTGTTTGAAAACATCTTATTTCTTTCATCATTTGCAGAGCTCAGATTTGACCCTATTGGTTTTATAGGTCCAGCTCTTCGACCCTTTTGCTCCAGCTCTCCATTTAGTAAATCATTAGCAACATCTTTTGCTAAAGTTGAAAGATAATTAGAGGATTCCATGTTGGCGCTATAACTTTTCTCATTTGGTAAACTATTGAAATTATCACTGTTAGTTGTCCGAGGTCTCCTGTCCATATAGAACTCATAATTTGGTCTTTGGTCTTCTCTTCTACCCCGTTTCTGTTGCAAAGACTCTGTGTTACTATTATTACTGTAGGTGCTGGCATCATCTTTAGTTTCAAGGTTGTTGGGACCCTTTATGGTCCTACTTTGCATAGTATTATCTCTTTTTTTAAAAGTACTATCATTTTGGTAACTAGAGGGAGGCTGTGAAAAATCTTTTAATCTTTCATTTCTTGAAAATCCTTTTTCATTCTTATTCCTGTCTTCTGCCCACGCGTCTGGTCCAGGAGAACTGTATTTTTCTACAGCTCGATTTCTCAGGGGCCCATTACCTTCAAACTGCCTTGATGTATGATTTTCCTTCTGAAATCGAGGCGGTTTCTCACTTCGTGGAGCTCTGGGATCATTCCGCACAAACTGTCGAGGTTGGCTATAATCCTTCACTCCATTTTGCTCAACATTTTGAACTCTGTTTTGTCCTTGGCTCTGACGTTGAACAAGAGGTTTGGTATCTGTAAATGAAAACAGTTGATTTTTGAGATTGGGTTCAATGAATCAATACTTTTGGAGTAGTTGGTTTTGTGGGAGAATATATACATGCACGCACATTATATATCTTGCACCTTTAGCATGTGAAGGATAGTATATAAAGAAATACATTTACTTAATAAATGATAGTACAGTGGATTCCAATAATTGTCTGGAATTGCACACCTGTACAAAATTTAGCGGGAATAACTAATATACAGCTGCTGTAAATTAATAAAAATAGAAGAGGTAACTCAAACACACGTATTTCTTGCATAGTTACATCTGCAATTGTAGAATTTATGCAGTCTGAAATACATACCGTATTTGCCGGAGTATAAGACGGGTTTTGAAACCTTAAAACATCACACAAAAATCGGGGGTCGTCTTATACGCCGGGTACATACAGAAGGATATGGTACACTGTATGTAGCTTCGGCTACATACAGAATACCGCGCTGAGCCAATCACGGCAGGCTTTGTATTAATGAATACAAAGCTTGTATTCATTAATACAAAGCCTGCCGTGATTGACTCAGCGGAAGACGGAGGACACAGCAGGGATCGTGGACAAGTTAAGAGACTGTAATCCCGATTGTGGCTTGGGGTTACCGCTTATGGTACTGAAAATTAACCCCGAGCTACACTCGGGAATACTGCCATGGAGGTTAGTGGATGCATTTAAACATTATTTTGGGCTATACTCGTCTTATACGACGAGTATAGCCCAAAACCTATATTTTAACACAAAAAGTAGGGGGTCGACTTATACGCCGAGTCGTCTTATACGCTGAGTCGTCTTATACGCCTGCAAATACGGTACTTCCATTCAGTAAATTACAGTGGCCTTTAATATTTGCAAACAATTAAAAATGTAGTATCTATAAAAACTGTCAGATTTTTTTTTCAGTAAAGTAAAATCTTTAGAACTTTTTCCAAATCTTCAAAATAACAAATATACCTTTAGAAATGTTTAGTAATGACTAGGGATGCACCGATCCCATTTTTTCAGTATGGAGTACCAACATTTTTTATACTGGAAGTCCCATTAACCGCTTGAAGACCAGGTGTTTAGACCCCCTTCCTGGCCAGGCCGTTTTTCAGTGTTCAGCGCTGCGGTACTTTGACTGACATTTATTCCGTCATGCAACGCTGTACTGAAATGAATTTTATACCATTTTTTGGGGACAGATAGAGCTTTCTTATGGTGGTATTTAATCACCACTGGGGGTTTTATTTTTTACTATAATAAGGAGAAATTACTGAAATTTTGAAAAAAATGTTTTTTACATTGTTATAAAACAAATATTACCCACTTTTTTGGTAAAATATAAAAGACGGGGTCATGTCGGGTAAATAGACACCAAACATGTCAAGCTTAAAAATTGTGCGCACTCGCGAAATCACAAAAAACTAGCATACCCAAAATTGGCCATAGGCGACGCTTTAAACGCTTTTACAGCTCATCAGTTTAGTGTTATCAGTGACTGATGGCCCTAGAACTATTGCTCTCATTCCGACGTTCGCGGCGATATGTAACATGTGCGACGTAATGGGCGCAGTCACATTTAAGGATGTGGGAATTGGGTCTCCATTTCTTGAATGGTGCCCACAGATGGCATTCTACAAATGGCCGCCCGCTGCACTCGCTAGTCTCTATGTAACAAGCTGGCATCACACAACGCAGTACACAGAGACACTGTAGAGAGCCAATAGGAGCGCTCCTTAATAAGTGATTGCTGTAATGACTTATCACAGCAATCATGTTACTGTTTATACCACAGAGTATATGGTTTATACTATACCAATGAAGGAGTGAAATTGCAGTAAGCTGCGAATAGGAGAATCAAGGAATGACTCATCACCAGAAGCTGGTGACTTATTCCTTGATTCTGAGTGGTTTAATTTCCATCCTGCCACTGTATGTGCAAGGCACATTAACACCTTCGCCTCTGTGTATGACCTGTTGTGCTTTATCTTGTTCACCATTAACAAATTAACCCCCTCAATACCACCATGTTTCCTTTTTTCCAAAAAATTGTGGCAAAAAACTGGATACTTTCCAAAAAGGCGGGTGTTTGTACTGTCCTCCCATTTGTTTTTAACAGAATGTTTTTTTTTTAAATGTTGGCAGTTTTAACTTGCTATAGTAAACAAATACAAATGCCAGCATTTATTAAATATCAACAAAAGAAAGCTCTATGTGCATCAACAAATGTTATAAAATTAATTTGGGTACAGTGTTGCATGATGGAAAAATTGTTCACTAAACTATCATAGCACTGAAAACTAAAAAAAATGGCCAGGTAATAAAAGAGTATATACAGGCTGGTACTCAAGTGGTTAAGCAGTGGCAACCAACATCACAGATTTATCCATCCCCGATATGGTACTCTGACTCGACTTCCTATGTTTAAAGGGACCCTGTCATCTGGTTAAAAAAGATAAAGCATGCACAGCCTGTTAAAGAAACAGATTTAAACTCAATTGTCCAGTTGGCAGCAAGCCAAAACTTTTCTTGATGAGATACCAGTGCCGATGCTGATAATTCAAGATGTCTTGGATAGTATGCCCCCCACTAGTGCTAGGGTTCCTCCTGCTGGCTGCTGATTCACTATAGGACACCACAAAACTACAGAGCATAAGGTCTCATTCCCACACAACACAAGAGCAAAATTGCATATTGCGTACATGCATATACGCTCGTATATGCATGCACTACATGCAATCCCAGAATGTATCATTCGTAATAGAAATGTTAATGAACCGTATGAGCGTGCGCGCAAACGCGTGTAAAATACGCAAAAATACGCTGCCCAGATGCGTCTCGGCTCCATTCTGCTTATGCGCATGTTTGCGCTACGCAAATATACGGCTCCATACACAGCTATGTGTATGGAGCCATTTATTTGCATATGCTGCATATGGTACAATACGCGCGTATATGCGTGGTAGTGTGAATGAGGCCTTATGAGGGGCACACTACAAAACCCAGAAGAATCGAACAGCAGTGACAATAGTATGACTGGAAGTAAACAAAGATGTAACTTTCCATCCACTAGACAGGTGAGTATTACCCTGCTTCTTTGATAAGCTGCCCATGCTTTACCTTTTTCAGAGGCAGCAGGGTTGCTTTAAGCATAGGAGGAGGGAGGCAGAGCACCATAGCCAAAATATCAGTATGCTTTAATGTGCGTAGTTAAACAGTGACGAAGCGACTTTACAAATGCATAAAGAACAATAACAGCTAAAGACAAAATGTCAGTTTGTTAATTTAAGTCTTATCAGACATGAGGTAAAATTCAAAATGTACTAAATTAAATATGAATACTGTCTGACACACATACCCAAATGTCTAGGACAGGGGTGCCCACAAGGTCGATCGCGATCTACCAGTCGATCGCGTAGCGATCACTGGTAGATCGCCATGTCCTCTCCTCCCGCAGCTTCTCTGGATCCCCGCTGCTGTCCCCAGCGTGGATCCGAGAAGAAGTGAAGGAACCGGCGGCGGGGGAGGGCGGAGGACGGAGCCGCTGTCACTAATTAATGCAGAGCAGTGAGGAGAGAGAGACGCTCGGCCAGGATCTGACAGCCGGCGCCTCTCTCTCCCCTCACTGCTCGTCCGTTCTGTCACAGCGGCTCCGCCCCCCCGTGGCTCGCGGTATTCCCCCGCTGCGTCTGCCCGGGAGAGCAGGGGGATCCAGAGAAGGTGCAGCCCCCTTGTGCGTGGACGAGCGGCAGAGGATCGGTACATCTCAGTAGTATGTACCAATCCTCTGTGCAGGACAAACACTGGAGCGATCGGCTGATCACTCCAGTGTTTGTAAACAACTGGGGACACATAGTACTATGTGTCCCCAGTTATAAATGAATGAACAGGATGTGATTTACATCACCTCCTCTTCATTCATAAGTTTCTCAATGGGGAGAAGCACTCTGCACAGAAACAGCTTGATAGTAAAATATTTTCTGTGTGAATGGAGGCTGCAGAAAAAGAGATTGAGGACTTTGTGTCCTAACAGGCACTAATGCAGGCGATCGCACTGTGGGCGAGGGGCCTGCCTGCGCAGCCTACGCCCCCGAATGCAGGTGTTTTTTCATTGGTAGATCTCAATGAGCTCGTCATTTGAAAAGTAGATCTCCAGACGAAAAATAGTGGGCGCCCCTGGTCTAGGATATTACAACACCTCAGATGTAAAGATATGCACTTAATGAGTATTTATGATGGGTAACAATCTCGAGAGTCTAAAAATAATCCTAGAAAACTATATAATAGATGACAAAACAAAGATTAAAATATATGCACAGAAAGTAAGATTTATACCTCAGTCTCTCTCAAATAAGGGCATTGCCAAGTTTAAAGCTGTAAAAAATGTAGAAGCACATTTTTCTAAGGTTGCATGTTTTTAAAGTTGCAACTGGACTAAGACTAACTTAAAGGATAATTAAACCCTCAGGGGTTTTTGCATATATCAAAAACATTAAAAAAGTCAAAACTTACCTGTGTCTCTGCCGTGCGCTCCCGTCCGAAGATCTAAAAAATCTCGGGCAGAGCAAAAGCATAATGGGGGGGG